TTTTTTTTTTCTTCGGGTGGCTGCAGCGGGAGGAAAGGAGAAGAAGAGCAGAATCGGGCAAGGCTGGGAAGAAAAGAAAGAAAGAAAAAGAAAAAGAAAAGAAGTCATCCTTATCCAAAATCTTTCCCTCTTTAAGTCCCTCAACTTTCAAAATATTCACATTATGCCCCAAAACAATCTTTTCTCACAATCAAGTCCCTAACTTACACTTAAATATTCTTGAAAATTTGGGATATTACACTCACCCCTCCTAAAAAGGAGTTTTGTCCCCAAAACTCAAATTGAGGACCATATCAAGTGGTGAATGGCTTCACACAATCCGAGACAAAACAATTGCCTCATCACTTTCTAGGAACAGAACACGACCTATTACGCTTCCGCTGCACCACTCTGATATCAACCCACAGCTAACCATAGAAGCAGGACACTAGCTACTTAACAGGATTTACCATGAAATAAGCTACTAGAGGTTGGGGTGATATGGGAAACAAAATGAATAAAAATAAATCCTGCCAAAGCCACAAAAGAAACAGTTGTGGGGTTAAGCTACGAACCCATCACAAGACGAGTTGGTAAAGAATGGCATGGATTTAAAGACAATTACAACAAAATTTGAACTCTATCAAGGACGGAGAAGCATCCAATGGATGTACGAATCATGAATGAATGAACGAGTGCATGGTTGCCTTATACATTTTGCCACAAAACAAGGTCAACCAATAAACAAGGTCATGTTTAACAAAGCAACTGAAATCAAGAAACAGATTTTAGCAATTAACAAGAGTTAAAAGCTAGGACCCATCAAATGATGTGTGAAATTTCCAAAATAGCATCAGAATAAAATCAGTGAAAAGTATGAATGCTTGGAAGAATACTGGAACATAAGATTGCAGGGTAGAATGCCTCAAAAATTCAACAACAAAACGGCATTCACCAAGAATCAAGATCAAATTTAACTAAGCAGTCAAAATTGAGAGACAAGAGTTAACCATGAAACAAGCAATAGAATTCCAAAAATTAGGCTCACAAAAGAGATTTCAATAATGACAATCAGAACACGGATTCAAGAGCAGATAGAATCAGAATGTCAAGATCTAGCACCTCAAGTACTAGAATTAATTAACAGAACAAAGCAATGGCTGGAATCAAGATGCCTAGAAGATTCATGTCTTCTAGTTAAAGGCCAAACAAGAATCTGAGCAATCAAATAAAAGAACAATTTCCCTTGGAACAAAACTCTAGGGCATCAGGTACTTCAAAGATTAACCCTTCACCTCGTAGCTCATGGAGGCTAAGCAGATTTATAGTCAAGTCATCCTAGACATCTTAGAGTCAAGTCAAAGCTAAGACATCCAAAATACAGAATTTAACACTTGCAAGAGACAAGAATTTAGAATACCTCATATAGGTATCTTCTGATAATCGTCACCCCTCCTAAAGAGGTGTCCATATGAACAAAAACCAAGAATCAAGAAGATCAACAAGTATACCAAAACAAGAACTAGCAGAATATGCAAGATTTGAGCAAGAGCAATATACAGAATTTGAGCAAGAACCAGTGTCAGAACAAGAACGTTTTCAAGGTCAACTCAAAATAGATTTCAAGAACAATGCAAGAATTAATTTTCAAACAAGTATCCAGATAATGAGGATTTCAATAATCATTATCCATTTCTGGATTTTAGTTTCAAGAACAAGTACAAAGCAATCTCAAGAAAGATTCAAGATGGATTTCAAGAGTTTCAAGCAATTTCCATATATCAAGAATGTAGAGATTGGCAACAATAGAGAGTTTAACTTTATGATAGCTTGCAAATCTTCATAAAAAGACAACAATTTCAATTGAATGATCACTGCTCTTGATTAACCAATATAGAAAAAAAATGAGCCACATGAAAAGACCATGAAGCTCCAAATGGAAAAATTGAAACTTCACTATAAGACTTTCAGAAGATAAGGAGCAACGGAATTACCAAGTAATCCAGCTCCTAAAACACAGCTAGAAAAACACACAACATTGGCTAAAATAGCCTTGAATCTCTTGCAAAGTAGAGGGTTTACCCATCCTCCACTGGTCATGTGACAAACAGAACAAATTCTCCACCAGCTATGCTGTAGAGACTAACAGGATCAATAACAAAAGTCTCTGCAACTCCCCAGATTTCACAATTGTGGCAAAAGAGCACACAAAAATTCTATTCACGCAACAAGTCTAAACAAGTGCAAACTATCAGAAAATGACCAAGTTTCAAAACAAGGTCTTTAGGACATAACGAGCAAGATTACTTTCACAACTTCACACAGAGTATGAAGGCAAGAAACAAGAAAAATCAGATCACCATCTCATCAAAATGGATGAGAAAATTCAGGCAACATGAATCAGAATCGTCCCTTATATAACCCCATCACTCGTCTCACCACGGGTCTAAAATCCACTGGCTAGCTAAGTCCAAAACAAATCCTAGGTATTCAATTAAACCTAGGCTCGGATATCACTCAATCTGCTCTAATGCCACTCAATCTGGAGGTGCTTAATTTAATTCTAAACTCTTAATTCAACCTAAGCTCTTAATTTCAACCTAAGCTCTGATACCACTAAATCTGTCACGCCCCAAAACCCAATTTCGAGACGTGACAGA